GAATTATAAAAAACTGTTCGCGAAGCCACATCAGAAATTGGCGGTATTCTCGTCTCCTGCGGGGCGCCTTTAGCATCGCACCCGACCCCGGGCGCGATTTCCAAGGCAGTGTAGAGTTACCCGAACAATACCCCCGGGGGCAGGTGGGCACGCCCACTCTGTAGGTGTCCCCGGGAGGGTACGGGGGTGTTTGCGTCAACTGCTACGTGTTTAAAAAATCCTTCACCAAGAACACTACCCGGAGACTGCGTGATTAGTTTTTAAACTGCTCGCTCCAGTGGCGTGCAATGTGGTTGTAGAGTAGGGTCTGGCAGGGGTTATATTTTCCCAGTGGCGTAGCTAGGTTTGGGCGAGGTGGTGGTCCGCCCCGCCGACATAATCATTATACATCGGGTATTTTGAAGTGAAATTCGAAACAGTAATAACTTAGCACTAATATGTAGGGAAGAACCTTGTTCTGTATATGCATTGGCCGTAAAAGAACATGTTCATGAATACACACAAAGTAAATAGCCTAGAGGTAAGTTCTCATGGGGCGAAGTTGTCAGAACCGGAACGGATTTAAATTAAGTTTAAAGATATCAGGACTCCATTGAAAATATCACAAGTTCTATTTATATCTTGTTTTAGTTCTTCGGCTACATTTTTTGAACGTTTAAAATTCTTGCGACAAAACTGCAGCCTACCCCTGATTGAGATCTTCTGGCTGTTGCCTCCGCCTTAATTAGGGGTTTCAAATTACAGCCGTCCCGTTAATTTGTAGCTTCTGACAATAGACTACACCTTATTTGAGAGCGAACGGATATGGATTGGTCCGTTTCTAAACTAACAAGACAGGCCCTCAACTGTGATCTGCAGGGCAAAAGGAAAAGAGGCCGACCATATAAAATCTGGAGACCAAGAAGATTGAATACACATGGGGACAGCTGGAGAGACTAGCCCAGGACAGAGTTGCATTGAAAGCTCTTGTCAGCCGCCTATGTCCCAGTAGGTCGACAGGCTAACCTAACATAATCGAATGGAATTGTAGCAACCGCTTACCCTAAAATCCGCTATTTGAATGGAGATTAACTATGGATATGCTTAGTCAATACGCTTTGTACTAGTTACTTAATCCTACACCTGTTCCAAAAGCTGACTTCTAATTCAGCATATACCAATCGGGCATAGCATATACTAATTGGGCATGTAGTGTAGACAAAAAATTACTCATGTGTGTGTACTTTATTTATCAGATTAAAAGTTATTATTAGAATAGCTTTTAAGATATATCTTCCTTCTGCATTGAAGAACAGAAAATAGCATGTTGTAATGTCCTTAGTTTCGTCAAACTTCATCTTAGAAACATAAACATTCGCTGGTTGTACGAAAACATTGCTACGCGCAGCTAATTTTCGTATTTGCTGATAACTCCTTAGCTTCGCCTTCTTTAACGTAACCCCACTCAAACTGTCTGAAATTTTTTTTTTTAAAGACAGCCATCATAATAAACCTACAGTCAAGTCATGCCACTATTCGCTTATCAACTTTTGTGCTATCAAAGCTTTTTAAAAAATCTGGCGTACTGCACAAACTCTAAACCAGCATGTTGCCAGCTTGTCTGATGTTTTACATTTTTTTTTTTAAATTTCTTTTAAAGTTAATGGCACAGCTTCAAAACAGTCATTAAACAATCACAAAACAAACTCCCCCATACATAAAAAACAACTCGAGAAAGTGGTGCTTTATTTTTTCAAGACGATTAATTTTTAAGAATTTTCTTCTCTTTGATAACACGATTCACGCATTATTCCAACGAAGAAAAGTTTAATTCTGTAGTTGAATATGTTGATGCTAATTGATTCATAAAAGGATAAATTCTATCCCCCCTCTTGAACTCGACGAGATAGTTATCTCCCTTTCACCTAGCTTATACACACAAAGCTCCTTAAATATGGAATAAGGGGCCGCAACTCAACCGCGGATTTAGAGTCGCGGGATCGCAGGACAAAATGTTGGTCACACGAATTTAAGACAGGTTTTTTGGCTTTTGCTTAAAGTTAATTCATTCGGCATTTTATTGCTATTAAATGTAGTATGTCTATTACAAAGCTTCTAAGCTATAAATATATATAGGACAACATAATAAAAGATGGAACCCAGGGATTTTTATTTTTTATTAAACTGTACAATAGCATTGATTCCTTGGAAATACAATTTCTGTACATTTTTAACGATAACTAACAATTTTTGTTTATCGATGTCTGTGTTATTAATGTCTCATGGTTGAGTTAAAACAAAAACATTTTTAGACGTGTTTAGACCAGGGGTCGGCAACCTGCGGCTCGCGAGCCGCATGCGGCTCTTTTGATATCAAGATGCGGCTCTTTAGCTCCTTGCTCAAATATTAATAATCTTAATCAAAACAAATAAAATATTTGAAATAAAAAATGTTAGTGGCTCTTTAAAACCAGGGAAATTTTGAAAATTGTAACTTTTGGCTCTTCCGCTTCAAAAGGTTGCCGACCCCTGGTTTAGACAAAAAGGAAACATTTTTAAAGGAAATTTAAACTTAGCTTGATATTGCAATGTTTACCTATTGCAAAGACATGCAGGTGTTTTAAAATACCCACCCGATAGGTTAATTAAACCATTCAATGTTACAAGATTTTTCCATATATATATATATATATATATATATATATATATATATATATATATATATATATATATATATATATATATATATATATATATATATATATATATATATATATATATATACATATCCCTCCCCCCAAAAAAAAACCCCATTAAAAACTACCATCAGCGGTAGTATATCAGTGCATGTGTGAGTGTTAATAAACTAATATGTTGTGTAGTATTAGGTTGGTGGATGTGTGCTTACATAGAGTGCTAAATGGTTGTATGCGTGTATTAAGTGCTAATAGGTTGTGTGCTTTCATAGTATGTAAATAGGTTGTGTTTATTTATTTAGGGTGATCATAGGTTGTGTGCTTACATAGGGTGTTAATAGGTTGCGTACTTATCTAGGGCGTTAATAGGTTGTGTACGTATATAGTGTGCTAATAGGTTGTGTACTTACATAGGGTTTTTAATGATAGGCGTTTTTCACACGTCGTAGAACAAAATCTGGATAACCTTGAACTTTGAACTTTTAGACCTAAATTTTTTTTCTATCTCTATTATATCCTCATCTTCCCACGTCTAAACCAAACATAAATGAATAAAATAACTGATACCAACCTTTCATTTACAGTTTAAAAAAAAACAAACGTTAAGATTGTAATTACAGAAGTCAAGCGTATTAAAGTTCAGTGACCCTGTTTACCTATTGTCATGTAAATAGGACAATCTACGACCAAACCTGACCGTGTAAATCGAGCGTAACACGGTACATCAAGGCGACGACTATTTGACACGCATGGCGTCGCTCCGACCAGCAACACTGGGCCTCTGTAATCCTATATAACACAATCGTGAAAAAAACACAATTTGCCCGCAGCGAGGAACAGCCCGAAACGCGCGGACGTGGAAGAAGTCGTGGTAGAACGGAACTGTACCGGACTGAGGTAGAGCGTCGTGGATAGTTTATGGAGTGACGCCTAGACGTATCTGATCGGGTTTGGGTATGTTGATACTTTGGAGGAGTTGATACGTAAGGGAGTTTGATACGTAGGGTAGGTGTTGATATGATACAGGGATTTATTGATACGTAGGGTAGGTTGATACGTAGGGTAGGCGTTGTTATGTAGGGTAGGTGTTGATATGATACAGGGATTTGTTGATTAGTAGGGTAGGTTGGTACGGGGATGTGTTTATCCATAGGATAGGTTGGTACGTATGGTATGTGTTGATACGTAGGGTAGGTTGATATGGTTGATACGTAGGGTAGGTTGATATGGTTGATACGTAGGGTAGGTTGATATGGTTGATACGTAGGGTAGGTTGATATGGTTGATACGTAGGGTAGGTTGATATGGTTGATACGTAGGGTAGGTTGATACGTAGGGTATGTTGATACGCAGAGTAGGTTGATACGTAGGTTAGGTTAATACAGGGATGTGTTGATAAGTAGGGTAGGTTTTGATACAATGCGTAGGTTGATATTTGTGCGTGTTGATACTCTGGGCTAGAGAGTCGTCAACCGTAAAGACCTAGATGATGTTTAACGGTAGTTAGTAATGAAATTTGAGTCAAGTATGAAATCAACCAGCTGTAGAGTAGCTAGAGTGTTACGGTGTGGGGGGGGGGGTGCTGCTCCTAGCACAGCAGGACTACCCTAAGCTACCCTGCAATACCATACACTTCAAAATACAGCATTAGACATGACTACAATAACATACACTATACTACGCTACCATACAATTTTAAATGCGGCCTTAGACCACGCTACACTACCAAATGCTACACTAAGCTACCATTCACAAATAAACGTTATCTGAACACCGTACACTACAATACTATACACTATCTTACACTACTAATACAAGACCTTAGACCATCCTACACAACAGCACATAACCATACACTGCACTAGAGGAAGCGAGCCAAACTACCCTTCACTAACCGACACAGCAGTAGCGGTCTAAACTACCCTGCACTACCCTAAACTACATTACACTGCCTTAACTACCCTACACTGCCCGACACAACTAAAGCCGACTTTGACATCCGCCGGCGCCGAAATACACCAACAAATCACTTCCGGGTCTCCAAACAACATTTAGCCGAAAAGTCAACCACCCCCCTCCCCCCACCCCTCACACACACGCACACAAACACACACTACCCCGTGTTATCTTGTCAGTGTGTCCCCCACCCCACGCTTGACGAAACATCTAACTTTCAAATCCCCATTTTTATTTTTAATCTTCCGATTCCCAACCCTAACATTCAGCATGTAAGGATAAGACCCCCCCCCCTCCTCATTTGTTACTTCTATTCACCCTACGTTCACCATATTTAATAACTTTCATTTTTCCCCTCTCGTTCTACAGCTCAGTCGTTGACTCGCACGAGAAAGGGAGAGAAAAAAAAAACAACCTCGACCTGTCTAGCGAGACTTGGCTCTAAGTGGGGTCAATCGCGCTTATCAAAACCAGGGGGCCACAACACTACTGTTCAACACTAGACAGGTAGAATATTTATACCTTAACGGCTGGTGTGTTGACATTGGGAAACCACGATGTTGGAGGCGAGTGTGTGAGAGTGTAGCCCTAACAAACTCAGGCACATCAGGATTTAGCTTCAAGGACCTAGAGATACATTTGAATAATCTCTGTTGTGAGGCTTTTACCCTAACAAAGTCAGGCAAAGCAAGATTTAGCTTCAAGGATCTGGAGATAGATTTGGATAATCTCTGTTGTTTTATATGCGAGGCTTTCACCCTAACAATTCAAGGCAATTTCATGATTTTGCTTCAAGGACCTGGAGAAAGATTTGGATAATCTCTGTTGTTTTTTTAAGTGAGGCCTTAACCTCAACAAACTCAAAGCAAATAATGTTTTTATTTCGTACACCTGGAGAACAATTTGGATGACTTTACTTTTTTTTTAAAAATCAAGATTTCCTCTACACATTTCAACTGGTTAAAAAACGTGTAAAAAACACGCTATCATGTTTTTAAAACTTTCAATCAACAACAAACTCCAAGAAATAACATCGTGTTTTTAACCAGGGTTTTGCTGATTTTATTTTTCTTGGACCTCAGTTTTTCATCAAAGGATACCCACAGCGCGTAACGCATGATCGATGATGCAGATTAATTATTGTGGTTTAATTAGGGGAGCCTTGAAATTTTGTTACTAAGCCATGGTATTAAGGTAAGCAATGTTTAACTTTTTATTTTTTCTTTCTTATTTCGGTTAGTGTTACAGCATTCTCGCAGACAGTGTTTCTTCCAGACTTTTTTCTACGGGGGGGGGGGGGGGGGGGTCAAAAATTTACGGGGGTGCGGATACTGGTAAAAGAATATTTTCTATATAAATTCCATTTCGTTCGGAGGGGGGGGGGGGTAGACTTTCTTCGGGAAAGAGATGCCTGGAAGAAGCTCTGCTCGCAGATTTTAGTGATATGCTTTTGAAACTCGAAAACCGTAATAGACAGGAGTTATAGTAGCAATGAAGAACACAATATTGTGTTTCATTTGTTGCGGTTTGTTGCTTTGTTTCTGTTTGACGTGTAGATTGTAGCCTTCGATTTCTGTAGAGACATCCTTGGCTTCTTACTTCGGCCTTGTCAGTTATTGATTGATTGTTTGTGTCATAAAATTACTTGAATGTACTACAGTATTGTTTCATTTTGGAATTATTTGACTGTGCCCTGGTATTTCTTGTGCCCAAGTAATTCTTCTTGTCTGTGCCCTATTATTTCTTGATGTATGCCCTAGTAATTTTTGTATTGTGCCTTAGTTATTGTTTATTGTGCCTTAGTACTTCTTGATCGTGTCCTTGTATTTCTTGATTTTGTCTTAATATTTCTTGATTGTGCCCTAATATTTTATTGAATGCACCCTTGTATTTCTTGATAAAGCTTCATTATTTCCTGATAAAGCCAAATCATTTCTTTATTAAACCTCATTATTTCCTTTTGTCTAAGTATTTCCCGACTGCACTATAGTATTGCCCATATGCTCCCTTCTATATTTTTACGATGACCAAGTATAGTTTGTCTATGTTCGAGTAGGACTCATCAAATTATAAACCACCAAATTGATGTCAGTATCAACCTAAACCATGGACAATTTTTTTTATAGCGGTCGGTGACTATTGCATCTTCCTACAAACAAGACTGTCATATAGTTGTAATCTAGTGTCTAAGTTTCTAGATCTAGAACACGAATAAGAGATATGGTCTGTATAGAAGTATGCGAGTCAATAAAATCCTGAAACCGCTACAAACAATACACCCGTTAAATAAAACCCTTTATTAAAAAAAAGCTACGGTACCGTAAACGTAACTATTATACCTCCAAACCTTGAATTCTCGCGTTGTTTTTATACAACGTCCCCTCTCCACAACCCAAATGTATAACAAAGATGGCATAATCCTCCATGGCTCTTACGCTCTGCCACCCCCTACCGCCAATCTCCCCCTTCACTGTACAAAAATAACAAGATTGAATAACCACAAAACTTCGACTTTGAATACTCTAATCTTGAGATTCCTACTCCACTCATACCCTATATAAAATACATTTAATGAAGTTGTATATGAACAAACAGACCATCATTGTCTAGTCCTGAATTATCCTCGCTTCATTCTGTCTCTGTTTTCTTAATACACTTGACACGTAAGTCAATTGGCTCTTGTAGATTTTTTACATCTCTTCAAATCGACGAGGCATTCCAGTGAATTGTCCACGTTACTTTGAATGGTTATCTAACTCCCCAATCAGACTATCTCTGCGTTAAATCTTTTTTATGACCCTCCTGAGTGCCTCATAAATGACATTTCTTTTGAAGCAAGAGGATCTCTTTTTTTTATAGCTTTAATATTTTCAAAATGTAATAGCCCCGATGCAGTGTAATTGCTCCTGCTCCATAGAATCGGTCTGTTTAGAACCTCGCTAACGCGGGTGGCCCTAGAGGAGGGGACTGGGAGGGACCGGGAGGGACACGTAGACACCCCAGGGAGTGTAGTTTAAAGCTGTGTTAATTTTTTTTTCATCCCTCTTCTATTGAAAAAAAAAATTCCATTCGTATTTTATTCACGAATATCTAATTTCCATATTTAACGTTTATTATTTTTTAATTGACTTGATTGTTGTGCGTGTTCTTAAAAAATATTATTCGTGATAATTTTTTTAAGATAAAATCAATGGAAATGAAATTGTATAATTAACGTTTGTCAGTATAGAGCAATAAAAAGGTCAAGGTCATGTAAACGATTAACAAAGAGATCTAGTTATAACTGGATTTTAGCGTTGATGAATACATTTTAGAATGTAAGGCATATTTTTTTTTACTAGCATTTCACAGATTACAATGTCATTTTAAACATTTAAGGCACACATTTTTTACTAGCATGTTCCTGATTACTCATTTAATAATGCTAGGCTAATTTTTACAAGCTTTTATTTAACTCACTTCCTCTGTCTGTCGTAAGTCTGTCTTGACGGAAACGCAGGAGTGAAAATTCGGACAGTTCTACTTGACCGACACGATTCACAGTTGGCACGTGGGTCAAGACATGAAGACAATGCAATCTGAAACTAAATTTGACTTAATTGGATGCCTAATTGATTTTTTATGAATTAATTAAAATTTGGACCGAATTAGTAGGCATGTCTAGCCAACCACACCACACGCGTCATCAATAGCTGCGCCATCACGACCACGTAATGGCTGCGTTCAAAAACCATTGCGCGCCTACTGAACGTGATATTCAGTAGGCGCGCAATGGTTTTTAGTCATGTAACTCTATTGTAGATAAAACATGTAAAGTACTGAAAAAAAATTCATAAAAAACGTTTTAATAACAAGCTTTTATGTAATGATGCACTAAAAAGTAGAAAATAAATTATAGACTACTATTTAAATAACTATAAAGAAAAGCGTGGGTGTCTTCCTTAACATTAGTAAAGGTATCCAATAGATACTAAAGTGACCCACGCTTTTCTTTATAGTTATTTAAATAGTAGTCTATAATTTATTTTCTACTTTTTAGTGCATCATTACATAAAAGCTTGTTATTAAAACGTTTTTTATGAATTTTTTTTTTATTACAAGCTTTTATTTAACTCACTTCCTCTGTCGTCAGTCTGTCGACAGTCTGTCTAGATAGAAACGCAGGAGTGAAAATTCGGACAGTTCTACTTGACCGACACGATTCACAGTTGGCACGTGGGTCAAGACATGAAGACAATGCAATCTGAAACTAAATTTGACTTAATTGGATGCCTAATTGATTTTTTATGAATTAATTAAAATTTGGACCGAATTAGTAGGCATGTCTAGCCAACCACACCACACGCGTCATCAATAGCTGCGCCATCACGACCACGTAATGGCTGCGTTCAAAAACCATTGCACGCCTACTGAACGTGATATTCAGTAGGCGCGCAATGGTTTTTAGTCATGTAACTCTATTGTAGATAAAACATGTAAAGTACTGAAAAAAAATTCATAAAAAACGTTTTAATAACAAGCTTTTATGTAATGATGCACTAAAAAGTAGAAAATAAATTATAGACTACTATTTAAATAACTATAAAGAAAAGCGTGGGTGTCTTCCTTAACATTAGTAAAGGTATCCAATAGATACTAAAGTGACCCACGCTTTTCTTTATAGTAATTTAAATAGTAGTCTATAATTTATTTTCTACTTTTTAGTGCATCATTACATAAAAGCTTGTTATTAAAACGTTTTTTATGAATTTTTTTTAGCATTTACCTGATTACAATGTTCTTGATTTGGGGCGGAGGAAATAGGGGTGGGATGAGGTTGGACGTTTGGTTTAGGCAGTAAGCTAGTGTTTAGGGATAGAACTGGTCAAGTTTAGGGATAGAACTTTGTTCAAGTTTAGGGATAGAACTTTGTTCAAGTTTAGGGATAGAACTTTGTTCAAGTTTAGGGATAGAACTTTGTTCAAGTTTAGGGATAGAACTTTGTTCAAGTTTAGGGATAGAACTTTGTTCAAGTTTAGGGATAGAACTTTGTTCAAGTTTAGGGATAGAACTTTGTTCAAGTTTAGGGATAGAACTTTGTTCAAGTTTAGGGATAGAACTTTGTTTAAGTTTAGGGATAGAACTTTGGTCAAGTTTAAGGATAAGTGAAGTTGCCCTCTCAAACGATACTTGAAATGGCGTCTATTTATTTCTGTAACCTCGGCATATGAAGGAGTCAGCGTTATGTATCCATTAGAACCGAGTGGACTAGCCATCACGGCCCATACACCAAACTGGCCACTATGGCCAAACTAGCCGTCACGGCCCAACAACCAAACAGGCGACTATGGCCAAACTGGCCACTATGGGCCACCAACCAAACGAGCAATCACGGCCCATCTAACTGGCCACTATGGCCCACCAAATATCTAACCCGTCAATTATTTCCCATTCATACATGCAAATGTAACAACCCACTCTAAAAGTAACCTAACATACACACGAAAAGCAGTGTATTACACTGTCCACAAAAACTTCATAGTCTAAAAAAAATCTTTGATGCTAATGCTCTGTGTTTACATAACAGTGGCTCTAAACTCTATAGGTAAACCCAGACACCACGATCCACCATTGTAAGGACTATAAATAAAACATTCTCCGATTGGCTACTTTACCATCACTCGCGTTTTGAAGCTTTCCGGGATGAGGGCGAAATTAAGAATTCAGCCGATGTTACAACTTTTTTTTTTTGTACGACTGCTAGTCGTGACTAGATTTAAACGCGTGTTAGGACCCTGGGTTATTGAGAACAAGCAAATATTTACTTTTCGTTTTCTTTGTAATAAAACGTGATCTACACTTTGAACTTGTAGTTACGGTTTTTTTTGTTGAATATTTTCCTTTTTATAAAACATGATAGCCACTTTGAACTTGGTAAAGGT